TATTACTGGCAATGCTAACTTCAAGCAATTACTTAAAGCAGTGTTTGTCACAGAACTGCACTGTAAAGATCCACACTGTCTATTTGTAATTATTAGCCTGTGAGCAAAACATTGAAATGATACAAATATTCTGTCCCTCAATATTCTTTTTGGTTATGATTAGTGCTTAAATCAGGGTGGTATAGTTACAAGCTAATGATTTTTCTGTCACTCCTCCCACACTTATTAGTTGCTGTTCTTCTATAATAAAGACCTTTTGTTTCTTTACCAAGTTCCCCATGAACTTTTGCTTATTCAATGTATTATTAGAAAATATTGATGTTCAGGTATCCCAAATGTCATTGGTGTCAATCCTTTGAAGCAGGCTCCTTTCCTTGTGGTATAATTTATTCAGTGCTCGCCTTTTATTTGTATTTCCTTACCCCAAGCTCGGAATAGTCATTTTTATATATACTTTTCTGGTTTCTTTGAAACAGGAATGCAATTTGGAAACAACTAGGGACTTGGTATACACCTTGGTTTACACCTAGAATTATTTCATAGCTGATTCAGTGAAAAGGCACTTCTGTTTTGTTTTAAATCATGAATTCAGAGACATTCCCCATTATCTTTAATATTATAATATTTTTATCTTTGTCTTTAATTTTGTACCCAGAACTCTCTTTTCTTATACATCTTAGCTTCTGATAAAATTAATATAATTACATTTTTTCTCCTTCCTTGTGAAATGTGTATGGGTATGTATTTTAAGTTTTATTTATATTACTGCTAATAATACTACTGGATGATGCCCCCATGAAATCTCAACAATATGACTGGATTGCCTAAACAAGACATGCATAATAATAACACCAGTTGACATGCCAACATGGATGGGGAAAATTTCACACGGTCTCACCTCTACATGAAGAACTACAGGCAATCAGTGGTTGCTGAGAGAGGGAGAATCAGTTTTCTCTGGGGATGAGCTCCTGATAGGTTATCCAATCCCTAGTAGTCAGTCCCAAACACATGTACACATGAGAACCACTAAATGGACTCTGTAGCATATATATATATATATATA